TTTTATTTTAGGATTGCATCAATTTTGCAAAAGATCAATCCGAATTGGTCTGATGATCGCTTATTCCAGGAGACTCGAAAAATTGTCGGTGCTGAAGTACAAGCAATAACGTACAAAGAATATTTACCTAAAATTTTGGGAAATTCGATGGATAAACATATTGGTCCTTATAGAGGATACGATCCACGAGTTGATCCCACCGTTTCCAATGTATTTACAACTTCAGCTTATCGATTTGGACATGGAATGCTTCAGGTTTGTTGTAAATGATTAAATTAAAAAATTACATTTTAATTAGTTTATCAAAAAAAAACCGTGTCACAAATAAACAGGTGTCTTTTAAGACAGATGAAAGATTCGTTTAAGCGTACGCGAAACATATTAATTAAAATTATCGGTACAGTTTTTATTCGCTATTTTTTTACTAATATTTTTTTTTTTTAGGAATTTTATCAACGGTTAGATTTCTCGGGAAATAATATTTCTCATGGAGGATTTCTATTTGGTGATGGTGTTTTCAAATCGAGCAAAATTTTATTTGAAGGTGGAATTGATCCAATTTTACAAGGTTTCATGATGACACCTGTAAAACGACCTCATCGAATGACTAAAGCAATCACAGAGAAAATGTTTGGCAGGTAAAACATATAAATCATCCATTTCTGATTATCAAAATTATCATTGATAATTTGCTTGTAATTTATCTCTTTCATTTCTTTCACAAAAATTCCTGCTTCTTACATAACATTTTTTGAAGTTTTTCTTTTTTCTGTTATCAAAAAAGAAAGAAAGAAAGAAACTGATAAAAATGATTATTAAGTACCGATCTTGGATCCGTCAATATTCAACGTGGACGCGATCACGGATTACCGTCATACAATAAATGGCGACATTTTTGTGGAATGCCGTTGGCTAATGATTTTGAAGACTTGAAAAATGAAATTTTAGACAAAAATGTACGTGCCGGTTTAGCAAAAACTTACAAAACACTTGGTAAGTATTGATTACAAATTAATTTTAAAAAAGTACTTATTTTTATAAAAGCATGAAATTTTAACCAAATATATTTTTTTTTTACTTCGCAGTAATTTGTTAATTCGCGTTCGTTTTATAATAAAATTTGAGAAATTAATTTCGTAACAGCGTTTTTATTTTAACTATTGCTATTTGTTAGGAAAATGTGCATAGAATCAAATTTTCAACTTGCAAAATTTCGATGTTACTAAATTTTTAATAATTAATACTTTTATAATAAAGGTCAGAGGATATTCATTGAGTGATGCATATTTGTCTTTTGAAAATCCCATTCATTTTATAGTCAGAACTTTTAATACATTTTTCACTTTCGAATTCTTTTTCATTTACTGCTTCTTCTGCTTCACTTTAATCATTTATTATTTCTAATATGAAATTTTGAAGTTTTATTTTTTAAATTCTTCCAATTTTAGATCCTTCATTATTTCCCTGATTAGCGATATTTTCAACTTTCAGGTGTTAACTTTACTTTATTATTCTAAAATTTGCCAATTTTCTAGTTTTTTAAAATTACAAATTGAAATTAATTATGCATCATAGATGATATCGATTTATATATCGGTTCAATGGTTGAAGATCCGGTTATTGGCGGTTTAGTTGGTACGACATTGGCTTGTCTAATTGGTGATCAGTTTAAGAGGTTACGTGATGGTGACAGGTAATATAAGTTTCAAATTTTATTCTATATAACAAAAACAAAGTTGAAATTCAATTAATTCAATTAAAACTTTGAACTTTTTTTTTCTCTTAATATTTTCTTTTTTACTGTACAATACATAATAAATTATGTGGGAAAAAGATAATTTTTTTTCCAATGTTGATACTGACATTTATCAAAATTCTATTCAATTTCTTTTATTCTTCCCAAAAAGAAAAATAAGTTTTGAAGTAGTGAGATTTTAAATACCTTTCGAAATTTCTGTGATTCATAACTAAGTTGTGTTAAATTATTTTTAAATATTTTAACAATCATATTTCACTCCTTTTTCACTTCTCTTTCATTCTTAAAAATTAAGGAAAAGATAAAAATTTATTTCTTTTTCTTTTTTTTATTTTTATACTTTAGATTTTACTACGAGCGTCCCGGTGTTTTTACTCAAGCGCAATTAGCAGAACTTCAAAAGGTTACAATGGCCAGTATCATTTGCAGTAACGGTGATCATTTTAGTACCATTTCACAGGATGCATTTTTGATAACACAAAGACGTCTTGTACAATGTTCATCAATTCCACAAATTGATTTAACAAAATGGCGAGAATAAGTCGGATGAATTTAAATTGATAATGAAAAAAAAAATAATGGAAGTAATAAAAATAAGCTAATGAGGCAGGGATATTAAACAATTGAAAATTAACTATAAAACAAAATTTAATGTGTTATTAATTATTATGTGATTCAATTAGTTCAATTTATCACATTGCCATCTGTTTTTCTTTTTTGCCCTTTAAATTTACTTCATACGGTGTAAAATAATTACTTAAAAAACACTTCATTTTTTTTGCCTTTCTGTTTTTTTTTTTGTTTTTTGTCTTTCCTTCTTTTTGATTTATTGGTAGTTTCTTTCTCGTTTTCTGTTTTTGTTTATTTAATTTTGTGCTTATTTATTTAAGTTTGCAGTAATATTTAATTGGTTGACTTACGTGGTAGTAGCACGAGGTAAACGTGAATTTATATTTTGAAAATATGCCGCACTCACTTACATCAAATCGTCTTTTACGGGCAATTTAATAAATAAATGAGGTGAACGAAAAGGTAATTTTACTTTTTAATAAAAATATTAGAATTTTTTTAACACAATTAGTTTTTATTAATAACCATATTAGTCCTTTTGATGACATGAAGAATGTAAATGGGAATTAATTCGTCCTTATTAAAATTAAACATGATTAAATTTAGCGAATAAATAAGGAACTGTGAAGATGAAAGATAGAACGAAAGACTAAGAGAAAGAGAGGAAGAAATTTTTGAATGCAAATTTGTAATTTTTAATAATATGCATTTTAATAATAAGTAATTAACTATGAATAATTTATGTATTTCAAAATTATACTGAAAATATGACAAGCATAATAAAGCAGTAAAAATAATTTACCGTTGAATTTTTGCAAATTTTTCCCAAGATAATTTTTGAAATTTGTTTAAAAGAAATTTTTCTAATTGTCTAAGTTGATTTTAAGTTTTTAGGATTAATACCTAAACCACAAGTTATCTTTTTCTTCAAGATTTCGCATAAAACTTTGATTGAACAATATTTTATGTATTATAAAAGTTTTAAAGAGCTTAATTAACACACTCTTTCTACGTCATCTTCCATGCTATTATCATAATGATCCTTTGCTTATTAAAATTTATCATCAATTATGAATTCAATAAATTATATTCTTCGAAGAGAAGAATTATCTAATGATTATTACCAGCTTATTCCAAACTTAATTCAATTTAATTTCTAGATTAATTTTCCACCATAAAATGTTTAATTAGTAAATTACAAAAAGGCTATTGTATCGCTCGCTACAAGTTGTGCTTTATAATCGAAATCAAAACATTTCTTTTTCAATAATAGTTCTAAATGAATTAAATTAAATTTAATAAAATAATTAGTCAATATCTAGTTTATTTTTATCCTAAATAATGCGCTTTATTAAAATTATTAAAATGGAATGAATGAGTTACGCGAACAAAATTAATTAGAATTTATGCATACTAATTAACGAGTAATATTTTAAAGTTTTTAGAACGATTCCATTGCGAAAAGATACTTTTTTATTTTGCTTTCTGAGTTATAAATTTTCCATAATTTGTGACAAATAAATTCGGGCAAACTGTATTGATACTCACTCATTGTAACATTTTATTTTTCTTTTGTTTAAACTTCTCTGGATTGAAATTTTACGATTAAAAATTACAATTTGCTTTTCATCATACCACAATTTTTGTGAATGACTGAAATTATATAAATTTCAACGTTTGGAAGTGTTTTAGTTATAATTATTTTTTTAATCAATAGGATTAGTATTTTTTCTGTCAAGCTTTGATGGATGGGTTGAATATTCATACATTGTTTTTTTTTTCAAATAAGAAAATTATATGTTTTCAGGATTTTCAGAAATTTTTAATTTTAAAAAGAATATTCAACATTTTTTACTTAGACAAATTTCGCAATTTTAATTTAGCAAAAACGATTAGTTATCCCTTCCTCCATTGCATTCAAGCGAAAATATTCTAACATGAATATTTTTGCTTGAGTAACATCGTAAATTATCGTCAGACTTAATTTTACTCTCATATTTGAATAGTATTTGTGTTTTCGGTATGATTGTGATATATGTCCCAATATTTTAACGAGAAATCGAAAATTATTCGTATTTAAATAAATTTAAAAAGTTAAAGATTATTTTAGATGCATAATTAATTAATGAATTTTGAAATGAAATTATTTTTTCCTAACTTTTTTCTTCTCAAATATTAATCTTCGCAATGGATTTAAATATCACTCATATTAATTTTGAATTGTTATCATATGTATTTAAATATAAATTGTATAATTTAATCAAGTTTTCTCTTTTCCATCTTTTATTTGTACACTTTTTTCTGATTCGATTAAAAAAATATGCTATTTCAAATTGTTTGTTACCACTGAACAAAAAAGACAAATAAGATTAAGATTAGCAATAATTAGTAAAATATAAATTAAAGTAGTATAATTTGAATATTTGATGCCTATACATAAATGCTTTCGAAGGGATAATTTACATTGCGTTGTATCCGATATCCAATAGAAATATTGCATATAATGCAAAATCAAACAATTCTGATAGAGATAAAAATGGTATATTAAATTTTTGAAAAGAAAATAAAATTAGAAAGAAAAGAGGAGAAAAACAAGAATACAATAATAAATATTTGAACAAACTACAACGAAAGCTTTGATCGATAGATTGAGAATATTTGTTGGACAGTATTGACTGCTCGTTTTTTTTTTTCCTTTAATATTAAAATCACGAAAATAAAATGGAAAAAACAGTGAAAAGAAGAAAAGTGATAACAAGTTTATGCATTTGTTATTCAATATCATTATTGTTATTACTATTTTGTCAGTGATAACCACAAAAGATTATGAGATTTGCAGATATACGAGAGATAATCCCATAATTAGGCAATATGATGTAAGGAAGAG